TCGTATTGGTTATATATGTAACAAGTTCGGTACATATGATTTGTATGCACCGGCTTGAGGGGGGTGTTAGTTTACAGATATGTAGATAATGTAGTCTTGTCCCACATTGGAATATGAATAATATGTCCTTGTAGAGTATAGCTATAAAAAAGGACCTCTTGTATTGTGTTGAGTATCTAATATCAATAATATATTTTCTCCCGTGCTTTCTCACAGTTTCTATCATATGTTGGAATTACTACTTTCTTGTATCTTTCCATCCTTGCTTGTCAGCATCAAAATGTATGATGACTGAACATTTGTGCTGTGTTAATAGACTCTCTGAATCTGAAAGCACTGGTGTAATTCTTGTTGCTAGTGCTAAAGATGTTTTAGCTCATTTTTCCTTGAGTAAGCTGTATAAGCTGTATCTGGTGTATGCAGATGTTGTTCGATGATTATTTGTCTGCCAAGTTGTGATCATACTTAGGATTAGTATTCGCTTTGATTCTTGTTACATCTCCTTGTTAAAGCTCAATTTGGTCTTTTGTTGCTATGCAGCATATCAGTTGGGTCCATTGCAAACAGCTATCCACCTAGTCCACAGAATAAAGCACTGTTGATTGCTGACATCCGTTGTCTCCCTGGTTTGAGCTTTTGCCTTGCAACTTTAGTTAATTAATCCTTTCCATCTTTGGGTACCTGATAACGTATGGTGCCTTATGTTTCAGGAATGGAAGGTAGCCCAGTGTTAGGGGAACATGCAGAGCTTATTGGTGTTCTGTCTCGGCCACTCAGACAAAGGGCTACTGCTGCTGAAATTCAGGTAAACATTTCATAATGTGCTCTATGTTCTTGCTGAGATCTATCTTCACATAAATTGCTTTAATTTGAAATTGAAGCATTGGGTGGCAGATGGTGATTCCATGGGAAGCTATTACATCTGCTTGTGGTAGCCTGCTTAAAGAAGAGCTACAAACTAGGAGAAAGATCCATTTTGATAATGGAAACCTAATCAGTGTTAAAAATGAATCACCCTCCAATAATATTCGGAATGGACCTTCCAATGATACTCGAGAGCATCTCCTAATAGATCCTGTTCCCCCATCCTTGATTGAGAAGGCAATGACATCTATCTGCCTTATCACTGTTGATGATGGAGCATGGGCTTCTGGAGTTTTGCTCAACAAGCAGGGTCTTCTTCTTACAAATGCTCATCTTCTAGAGCCATGGAGATTTGGAAAAACATCTGTAAACGGTTCAGGATATAACACCAAATCTGATGTAGTTCTCATCCCTTCTGATCAATCTGAGCATCCAGGGGTTGAGAAATTTGACATTCAGCGTAGGAATAAACATTTGATTCAAAAGGAACTAAAAACTCCGCATTTCTTGGTTGACAATGAGCAAGGTAGCTTTAGAGTTAACCTGGCAAAGACAGGCAGTAGGATCATTCGTGTTCGCTTGGATTTTATGGATCCCTGGGTATGGACAAATGCAAAGGTAGTTCATGTCTCCAGAGGACCTCTGGATGTTGCATTACTACAACTTGAGCTAGTTCCTGATCAGCTCTGTCCCATTACTGCTGACTTCATGTGCCCGTCCCCTGGATCAAAAGCATACATTCTCGGACATGGGCTATTTGGACCACGATGTGGTAAATCTTGCTTTAGATTTGTTGTCTAAATAAAATATTTTTGCCTTTACTTTTATTTTGACACACGCATCACAGTAAATCTGAAATTTTAGAATATTCTACAAAAACTTTGTTTATCTTGAATTTCTCTCTCTTCCACCTTGCTTCTCTTGTGTTAAGAATTTGTTGAAGTGTCATTATAATCAATTGCAGGATTGGGTCGTATTATATCATTTTCATCTCCTTGTTACTGCTGGAATACTTGATGTTTCTTCCTTCACCAAATGATGATCATTTGATGACTGATTGAGTAGTTATGAGGTGATGTCGACGCCTCCGCAAGGGAACTTGAGGTGTCTTCCAATGGAGAAATAATAACCAGATTGGTCGGGAGGGCTCAAAACTGGGTAATCTTTTAGGTGAAGACATTGTTTACTGATACTGAATTTGATTTGTAGTCCAAGTCAGTGTTTTGATCTTCTGGTTAAAAAAAATTGCACGTCAGATTAAGAATAGCGAGGTTGTTGTAGGGCTCAAACAAGGCTAGCAGAACAAGGAGAAAGGTAGACGAAATTAAAAAGAAGCGTTTTCCTTTCGTGGGCTAATAAAAGCCATAGGCACTAATTCAGATCTTCATCCATAAGAATGATATATACCTAATACCTATGCTAACAAAGTGGAATTGGGGAATCAAATCTAGAGTTTTGAAGTCACTTATCAGTTATCACGAAAAAAGGTAAATTTCTGGAGCATTAAATTGATGTTTTCTATTGTGAAAGCAAGTACAAATGATCAGCTTTAAAGAATGGGATTTTTGAATAGGAAATTCCTGGTAACTCACTTATTCGAGTCGGGCTGTATCTCAAGGATATTTTAATAGTAGCTAGGTTGTTGCAAGTGCTACTATTGTTTATTGATGCAATCTTAACTTGTCTGTTCCATCTTTTTTCGTTGATACAGATAACTTGTCTGTTCCATAACCTTTGCTGAACATAATTTTCTGGAACTGACTATCTTTGTGCGCCCAATAGTACTAAATCATGTTGTTCTGGAGGTTAAATTGCTTTTCATGTGAATAATTTTGTTAAGTTCTTTCATTTTGAACATGATATACTACGTATATTTATTTCATATGTTTCATACCTATATTAGACTTCTTTAGTTGTATTTGTAATTTGTCTTACTTTTTCTTATAATATAGACTTCCTTCCATCTGCTTGTGTGGGTGCAATAGCTAAGGTAGTTGAAGCCAAGCGGTCTCTGCTCAACCAATCAAGTTTAGGAGAACATTTTCCGGCAATGCTTGAAACAACGGCTGCTGTACACCCTGGTGGTAGTGGTGGAGCTGTTGTTAATTCAGAAGGACACATGATTGCCCTTGTAACAAGGTAATTAACTTTTGGATGACAACTGGGGATGCTTATAATTGAGGATATTTCTTTTTCAGCTTATGTATATTTACATGTGTTTGTTCTTGAAGTTCAATCTAATGATATTGTGGTACACTGCGTCCTGGAGTACTTTGAGAAGTCCTTGAAGAAAGATATTCCTGTTTGAATGTATATTAATTGTCCTTACCAAAAATGTATATTGGTTATACGCTTTTCATACAGGAAAAATAATGGTGTCCAATTTGAATGATCTCATACAGAAGATCTTTTAGTCATCTCATTTATGTTAATCTTCACATATCATGGTCTTTCTATAGTTTTTCCATCTATTAATATCTTTCTTGTTGAAACTTCATGTCTTGTAGTTTTATTTTTGATGCAGTAATGCTAGACATGGTGGAGGGACGGTCATTCCACATTTGAACTTCAGCATTCCATGTGCAGCTTTAGAGCCCATCTTCAAGTTTGTTGAAGGTACTTTATTCGACTGTTCCTGATACTTCCATTTTCAGATAATGGGTGGTCTTTTCCCGTATGAAGAATAAAAGCAGTAACATTTGATCTGCAAGCTCTTAATAAGTTTTGCAACTCTCAAGAAATCAGTTCCGAATAACACTTGGTAGGCACGATACCAACGTCTGATATTTCTGTTCTGTTCTTCCTGACAGACATGCAGGATCTATCACCGTTANACAGACATGCAGAATCTATCATTGGAATATCTTGACAAACCAGATGAACAGCTTTCTTCTGTGTGGGCATTAACTCCGCCTTTATCTTCCAAGCAAAGTCCCTCTATGCTTCATCTGCCAATGCTTCCTCGAGGAGATAGTGATGGTGATACAAAGGGTTCTAAGTTTGCAAAGTTTATAGCTGACAGCGAGGCAATGCTGAAGAGCGCAACTCAACTTGGCAAGGTTGAACGTCTTTCAAATAAGCTCGTGCACAGTAAGTTATGATAGTGTACCATTGGTCTCACAAACAAGTCAGATAGCAATAACGCGCTACAACACTGATGCTTCAAATGCCAATGACGACAAAAGGATCACCAAAGACTGGATCTATGTATCATAGAAGCATCATCCGAAGCTGGGATTGTATACCAAGATTCTTCGTTGTCATAAATGTTAGTTGCCTGAATGTGCAACCAGGGGTTAAGACGAGCTTGTGATGAATAAGTGAAATAGATTATAGCCATACTTGTACAATAAATGTCAACTGTACGTATTTGATCTTGAGGATTTATTCTTTTATGTATAAAATTTGGGTGGAGGGGTGTATTTGCATTTGGTTTATGAGATAGTTGTTATTCACCCCCCACTTCCAACCAAGAGGTTGTGAGTTCGAGTCACCCCAAGAGCAAGGTGGGGAGTTCTTGGAGGGAGGGAGCCGAGGGTCTATCGGAAACAGCCTCTCTACCCTAGGGTAGGGGTAAGGTCTGCGTATAAACTACCCTCCTCAAACCCCACTAGTGAGATTATACTGGGTTGTTGTTGATAGTTGTTATTCACTATGTATTACTCTAATAAACAATAAAAACCATTAAACTTTCTGAAATAGAAACAAAAACAAAAAGTTAGTAGAACCAGTTGCACGAAATAAATTCAGGAAAAACAATATTGGAATAAATCGAGCCAATTGAATGCACAGTGTGTCCTTAAGGAAATTATTCCCCTCAAGTACCCGAGGTGTTGGAATATTATCCTCCGGATAGAATGATTTAATTTATCAGCGTATTGGTACCAAAAACTCCGGTGAATTTTGAACCACTCAATGGTCGCAAAACACACTCGAAAATATTGTGCTGAAGAAGAAGAAGAAGATAATCAAAAAATTTAGTAAGTAAAGATTCTGGGATTCAAGACATATTTATAGACCATTTGGCACTGTTTCTGAAAAGGTTTGCAACCTTTCAGAAATAGCCATAACTATTTGAACAGGTGGGAATGTTTCTGTTGAAATATTGCGGGAAAAACAGAAAAACGGATTTAAAATAATTCGGGAAAGAAAACGGGCCGGACCGGACCGGACCGGATCGCGGGTTATTCGGATTGAATTTTCGTTAATTAATTTAATTAATTAATTAAATAATTGAAAGGAACTTTGTCCAAAAAGATTAATCAATCAATCTTTGACCAAATCCGAATCCGAAGCCGAAGCCGAGCTGAGCCGAGCGAGCATCAACGACGACGACGACGCGATGCTTGCCTTCTTCTTAACTCTTTAAGAGCTAGAAGAGGAACAGTTGTATATATACCCATCAAAAGCCTTTTCTTCCTCCAATATGGGACAATGTCCCTTTGCCAAGGAGGGAAACTCAAATATTTTATTTTTCCTCCATTTCCCATTCACCCTCTTTAAGCTACACCAAGCTTAAAATTAAGCTAAACCAAGCTTAAAAGCCCAACAATCCCCCACATGAATGGGGAATGACTATAAAATAAAGGAATGCACAGACGCGTGTGTGTTTTACATGCAAGAATTAATTGCATCTGGATAAGTAGGTTTCCCTTTGAACTTTCCGTAGTGAACTTATATCGGATATACTCGGTCAATCGGTAGATTTGATATCTTTGAACTGTCAAGCTTTGTTGTATACCTAGACAACATAAGTCACACAATTAACCCTTGACCATCTATGGTTCTCACGGTTGTGTTCGTTTCAGCCATGAACACCGCCTGGTTTCATGAGTG